AGTTGCGGTTTAGAAAAAAAACTTTTTCTTTTTAAGGATATATTAAAAAAAGTAACAAGATTCATATACTTATAAGAATCACTATATGCGCTGTATTTTTGCTGTTCTTTTATGGATCGTTTCTGGAGCATCTCTACCAAGAGTCCAACAGTAGTCTGCAAGCATGGAAGGATTCCACTTTCACTGGTACCTTTTTTCCATTGTTGAAATATCCTGATGAAAACGTTCGCCGTGCTCATCACTTACGGCTCCGCAATTGTCAGGAAAAAAGTCCAGGTGTGAATGTAGGAAATGTATCTTAAGAGACATATTACAGCCCATCTTTTGATACGATGCCAGCATATTTTTGACAAGGGTTTTATAGTTGTCAGCTTTTCTATTTCCCAAGAAATTAGTGACCACCAGACGGAAATCATTCCAAGCAGTTTTTTCAATACCTGTTAAAGTGTTTTCAAACTGTGTATCTTTCAAAATATTTCGAATCTGTGGCCCAACAAAAATACCTTCTTTAACCTTTGCCTCACTTAGTCTTGGAAATTTCTGACGCAGGTATTGAAAAGCTGACCCATCTCTATCTAATGCCTTGACAAAGTTTTTCATTAGGCCCAACTTGATATGCAGTGTTGGTAATAAATTTTTTTTCGAATCTACTAATGGCATATGCTGTACATTTTTTTGACCTGGCTCTAGCAATTGACGTACAGGCCAGTTTTGTCTGGTGTAATGAAGTGCCTTTGCCTGACTGTCCCATTCACACAAAAAACAGCAAAACTTTGTGTAGCCTAGCTGCAGCCCAAGTAAAAGTGCAACAATTTTCAAATTACCACAAATATGCCATTGGTGCTCATCGTATTTTATGCATGTCAATAGGTACTTCATATTGTCATATGATTCTTTCATGTGAACTGCATCTCCATTCTTCTGGGTTATAGTTTATATTTAAAGCCGCCAGTAAGCCGGCTAATGTTACTGCAGAAAACCAAGTTATTCTCCATATTGAAAAATGGTTCTAAGTCTTTGTGGCGTTTACGAAAAACACATACCGAAACATCGTCTTCTAACAAGTTCCACTGCTACAGTCTTGATCCAAGTAATTCTGCCTTACATTTTGGAAGTTCTAAATCTCTTACAAGATCATTGAATTCTGACTGTGTTATTTTGTGCGGTTGGTGGCATGACGTGCTCGGTATAAAATCAGGATCTCTTGACGTTGATGGTATATCTTCTTCCTGACGAATCACTCGATCGCCATGATCTGATTCGTTTTCTGATTCGCAAGTGTAGGATTCTGGGGGTTTTGGAATAGGATTTTCGTCACTGTAAGGCACAGGTCTCATCGCAGATGGTATGTTTGGATAGTTAATAACCGATTTTTTTTCTTGGACATACCTGTGGCTTGTCCAACACAAGGTACCATGCAAAAGTAACAATCATTAATATGATTTGTAGGCTCTCTCCAAACCATTGGGACAGCAAAGCGCATAGACCGTTTTTTGCCATTTAACCAGCTCCTCAGACTTGAAGCACATGTATTACAGCAGATGTGGGGTGCCCACTGTTTGTCTTGATCACCTAGTTTACAACCGAAATAAAGCTGATATGCCTTTGTTATTAGTGGAGTAATAGACCGTCTCTGAGACGCAAAAGTCACATCACCACACACGTAACAAAACTGATCTGGATTGTTTACACACTTTCGAGACATCTTGCATGAACGCTGTCAGCCAACTGAGGAAAACATGGCTAATATAAAACAATATAATGTACACGTATGTATAACGTAACACAATCATGCCGATTACATCATCTTTCCTTGCCGAATATAAAAATGTAGCACGTGCATTCTTGTGAATTACATTATATTAACACTGTCACAGCAGGAACACATATAATTACCGTATCTCTAAAACTTGAACTAATATTGAAAAAATAAGTTTCATTCCGGTTTTAGCACATTAAAAATAGTAATATTTTGTTGATTTTATTTAGGATATTTTTTGGCTGTTGATCAGTGTAATCAAATTCAAGCAAATAACCAAATGAAAATGGTATTTACCATTTTGGATTGGTATTTACCGATTCGTTCAATCGTGTGTGGTTATTAGTTTGGTTATAAGATCCGTGACGTCATGAATCAGCTGTTATATGTCATAGTTATCACCGCAAAATTGTGGTATTTACCCAACTCAGTAGTAGTTTTATATTTCTGGTTATTATTTGAAATGTGACAAGTTAGAATTTTGCCGGGTATTGGATATTTTTGTTGTACTTCAGCCTCATTTTTGGGAAACTTGATACAGGCTGACTTCAGTTGTATTATAAACTAGAGCACCTTATTAGTTATACTCATTACTGTTGTTGGTGACACTTTAAATCTAGTTCCTATACTTAACAAAGTATCCTGTGTAGCCATATACCACAAGAATATTAAAATATGGATATATAAACTCACTGGATAATGTCCACCTGTATACTGTTTTGCTAATATATTTTTTCATCGCAAGTTTAGAGAATTGAAAGTTATCATACCTACAAAGAAATGGATCCTTCATTAAAAATTATTGTCTGATAAAAAAACATTTCTCCCATTAATATTATGAAAGGTTTCTTTTTAAACTTTCCATACACTGTTGCAGGCGAAAAAGCACCGAGAATTAAGTGATAATAAAAATAATCAGAAATTATATACGCGCTTTTCTAAAATAAACAACCTCCAACAAAACCGGGGTTAAAACCAACTCGTTCAAGCGATTAGAGTTACTGACGTTATCAACCCGTGTGTCATCTTAAACCATCTTAAACCATATTATAACCGCGGTACATAACACAGAAACTTTAGTTATTCGCTTGGATTTGATTAATATCACTCTTCAAGACACGTCATATCCCTGCAAATTTTTCGAGACCTCGTCACGTCAAAACATGGCAACAAATAATAGCTGATTTTCCAGTGACATCCAAAATACGCCATGTCGACAAGTGACACAACTTTGACAGATCTGTGTACGGAGACAACTTTTGTTGTGGACTTTTGTCAGTTAGTAGATTAATCTCCTGGCTCCAAAAAGACAAATCAGATTTTTCCCAGCAGCTTGCCGCAATTGACGTACGTGACTTATTCATATCAATTATGCTGAATAGCTGAATGTAATGATGATTATTTGACTCTACATTATAAGGAATAAATCTAATTGAAACCAGTTTTTTACAGCTCAACCTAAACTATCAGATATACATTGCTTCTCAAAAAAATTCTCCATTTATTTTTTAGACTGGTAAACTTAGCAATCCGAAATTCGGGCTGAATTGATGCATAAATACTACATCAATCTAGAATATAAATTAAGAACCTTTCAGAATGGAATACTGACAGGCTGTCTAATATTAAGCGTTCTTCAATGAATCGCAACAACAATTAGTCATCAAAAGTACGTTATATCAATCCTCTTCTTATGGAAGCGTCTATTTGAATTTTCAATTAAATTGGAAAAAAATAGAGACAAGTAGGTTAATGGATAATGTTCAGCACAAGTTAGACCTTATCGAAATGAAACAGTACCACAAACTTTATATCCTGGATAGAGGATAGTTACTATGCTTCCGTTCGTTGTCCCAGAGACCAAGCCTAGACCATATTGATGAGTTCGAAAAAAGCACGGAATCATCGTTGGCTGTCTCTGGCTGGACGATACAAAGCAGCATGTAAGACCTTCTGTATAACAGGAATTAAACGGATGAAGTCCATCAAACAGGTCCATATAATTATCCATAGACATACATTAGTCCAATGCCTGATCACATGATGCGTCAGCGCCAGTCATGCGAGGACACTTAAGAAGATCGACACACCGGCCGATGAAGCTAGACAGCAGACGGAGGGCACGTGTCTAAAACATGCCTCTATCGTTATGTTTTAAGGGTAAATATACTGGGAAATCTCTGAAATATGTCTAATATGTGTGTAGAATTACCGGGACTGGAAGTGTATTAATAAAGTAACATCAAAAAATTGCGATAAACCCTCACCCTACCCCTACAACCCCCTACCGCCAAATTCAACTCCTACAAATCGTTTCAAAGATGATCAAGATTCTCTAAAACATCAAAAAACGAGGTTTGAGTGAATCTTATTTTTTGGCATTTTTCTCCATCTCCATAGGATTGATTTTCAAAAACTATAAAGCTTTTTCGTCCTTGGCATAGTAGTAACCTTGTGTGAAAATTTTATCCAAATCGGACTAGTGCTTCCCAAGTTACAGTCGAGTCAAGGATTGGTGGACAAACCGACAGACAGACCGATAGAGATCAGTGACACAGTTTTTCGTGACATGCATGGTATATAACATAACAAAAAACGTAATATTTCATTTCCGATTTTTTTTGCGATTACAATGCTTCCTCGCCAATAGGCGAGGGAAGTAAAAATGACGGACAGAAGAAAGTTGATATCACGTACACAGTTTTGATGATTAGTTGACAAGTTTTAAAAGCAATTCAACGAATAAAAACGCTCAATTTTGACAGCCTGCCAGTCCGCCGCTTTGGAATATAGAATACTTGAAAATAGCTTCAAAATGAGTGTCAGGTAACGCCTCATTTTTTTCGAAAAATGTGCCAAAATGGAGCCCAACCGTCATGTTGAAATTTTTTTACGCCAAAATTCATGCATCAGCTTCACTGTATAGAATTTCAGCTTGCTAACTGGACTCGTTCAAAAAATAAGTGATGGGATGTTTTTGAAAACCACTGTATGCGGAATCATGTTAATACCAGTTTCACACTCTATCGTGAACCTAAAGACACATTCAGATAACAAAGTTCGTGTCCACCTTGTATAAGAACATCAACTGCAGATCCCACGCAGTATTGCTTAAATTTTTACTCAATTTACTTCCTTTAAGAACGTGATTCAATCGCTTATCTCTACTGAACTTTTGCCTGATAGGCCCGCGTATATAAACTTAAAGCATGGTCTGCAGTAGATAATTTCAATTATTGAAGTGAGATTGAAACCTATATTCTAAACCCGGTCACAGAATACTTGTTTAGTTAATGTTTGTGTCTAGTTCCGGATTTACCAGGAATTTCGGAATGGCCATATTCAGGGGAAAGGTACATACTTTTTATATTGATTTTTCAAATTTTTTCATAACCGCACTTGTGAATCGAAAAATTAAAGTAGTACCGGTATTCAAGTAGTGCCCTATTGATAATTACAATATTTTGCGCATGTTCGTAGTGAAGGAAATAGAACAACCCGAGCGACACGTACTTCCTATTCTCCATGTGGACATTGATCCGCACATTGATTTGACTGTGCCAAAACTACCCATTCTGCTATCCTATATTTATTATGCTACTAGATTATAGCTTATAGCGAATATTCCCTTCATTGCCTTTTACTTTTCATTTATGTTTTTGAAGATAACCATCTCTTGTCTAGCTTTTCAAGGGATTACAGTATTACGGAAGGAGATTGTTTGTCATCATCAGTGATATTATACCGTTATACTGATACCTATTTACTATCCTATCCAGTGTATCTAATTTAATTGATAAAACAAATCAATTATCGAATGTTTCGGGGATGTTTGCAACGAAGTGTAGCGGATCAAAAAATAGATGAAAAGCTGATCCGTCAGGGTCCTCAAAGCATCAAATGTCTCGGTAACCCCCCCTCCATTCTTCTTCGCAAGATTAAACAAATAAATAGGAACACGAGTATTACTTGGGTCATCAAATTTTGCTAATATCACAAGTTTTTTTAGTCTAAAGAAGGTTGCCCTGGGCTTTTACGCTTTCACATATTCAACTAGTAAGATAGACCTCGGAAAAGAACTACAAGACAATCAAGGCATTAGATACGTGTCTGCAATGTAACTTCGGGCCTTGTTTGACAATCCATGATGGTTCTTGATAGTATTAAATTTACCCGAAAGTTTTGTATGTTTTTTATGTAATTGAATGAGGTTTATCGAATAATACACGACTCAAAAAAATTAAGCAAGAAAAAAATCTAAATTTTTTGGTGAGTTTTGACAGGCTGTACTCGTATGCCGGTCAAAAATGGTGATACCTAGACTTTAAAAAAACACTTGGAAGCTTTAAGATTCTAGTTTTCAGGTTTTTTAGCAGAGGCATTTTAGAAGCATCGTTTCTCATGCAACTATAACAGATAGCACAATAAACATTCTTTGTCCAATTTTTGCCTTCTTTTTAGTCCACGGGCTTGAAACACTTTTTTCTGTCATGCCAGCGTCCCGATAATCATTTAGCCTAGAAATATCGGCTACTGATATCTCGGTCACCAGTGATCGCACAGAGAACATAAGGGTATTTCCGAAAACTGGAATAAATCTTCTATAAGATTTGATTGCAATCCTTGAGGATTTTTTTGTTTTCAAGGAATTGATTTTAAACAATTCAAAACAGCTACTTTGTTGCATTGTTTTGGAAAATCGACATCATTTTTGGAACTGCTGATCAGAAGGCTAATGTTTTTTTTTCTCAGGACCGATTGGTCATAATTTGAAATGCTGCTTGCATTATACTGTGCAAATTTTTGAATAAATTCGTTATATTCTCGTGGTTACATTAAATATTTGGGCATTGCTATTAACACGTGTAGGGATTACTTAATTTCGTAGAGCGTATATTTTTATTTAGAATAATATAATTTTTTAATCCAGTTAAATATTATAAATATAATAAGCGCTATTTCATGGAATTGCTAACGTGTTTATACGTTGTTGAAACGGAATGGAATTGTCTTTTTGTGATACGAATTAAGTCGCCTAATGCACACAGTGCGTCTCGCCGGGCGCACATTTGGAGAAACTGGAATGCAAAACATTTCGTCATGCATAGTTCAAAAACCTTTTGTTATTATGCCATTGTCATTTGTCTTCAAGTTGCACAATTACTTAGTATAAATATATTGTTTGTGTCTCGTATAGATCCGTATTATTAAAGATATAATTTTTTATTTATTTTTAGAGAATATCAACTAAAAACATTTTTCAAGACACTTTTTTCCAACTATTGACGCCATTACCAATTAAACTACAAACACTACAAAGCTTTACCACCCTGAGATCTGAGATATTTCGATTTGGAATTTATTTTGCATTTATAACTCTATGTGGTTCTATTGCAATAACTTGAATACCCTTTGTCCGACTCTGGTGTTTAAAATTCAATCCATAGGTATCTTAGGAGCGAAAAAACGAGGCAACGTTCATTCTCTTAGCGATAAAAAAAGTGATGGAAAAATAAAAAAAATATTTGTAACCCAATTTTTCGCACATAAAAAATTGACGCGGAGTATTTTTCCCCTAAATTCACACAGTGCATAGCGCCGGTGCATATTTGGAGATACCGGAATGCAAAACATTTCTTCATGCATAGTTCAAAAACCTTTTGTTATTATGCCATTTTCATTTGTCTTCAAGATGCGCAATTACTTAGTATAAATATATTGTTTGTGTCTCATGTATATCCGTATTATTAAAGATATAATTCTTTATTTATTTTTAGAGAATATCAACCAAAAACATTTTTCAAGACACTTTTTTCCAACTATTGACGCCATTACCAATTAAACTAAATATAAATATTTCGAACAATATTTGATGTATAACAGTGAAAATTGGTATACAAGGGTTTTTTGGTACGACAAAACGAACCATAGTTTTACTGTAGCCGCTAGAGGGCGCTCTCTACTGTACCTGTAGTGTATTAAAATGACCGAAAATTTTTCTTAGTGCAATCTTTTGCTTTTTGAATAAAAAAACTGATTCTTCGCACTTTTCAACATAAAAAAGCTCTCTTGTGAATTTTCGTTGTAGTTAGCCGTTTTTGAGGTATTTCGATTTTTAAGGTTCGATGCATTTTTAATTATTGATGATAAAATAACGTTAAAAAGTCAGTATCTGGATAATTTTTAGAAGTAGGCTGCGCCTGCAAATATTTCTGAAATTGAAAGCAGAATAAGGTTAAACGTCAATTAGTTGACAGTTAGTTTTGTTGTCTGTTGAAACCTGAAACGTTTTTTTGCAATTGTGAATGCACGAAATTTAGTTTCTTTTACCTGTTTTTTTTTGTAAGTTTTATTAAAATGCCATTTTTATTCTCCAATCAAGAGTTAGCGGATATTCATTTTGTGTATGGCTTTGTAAATGGAAACGCAGCAGAAGCAGCCAGAGAATACGCACGAAGATTTCCAAACAGACGACATCCAACTCGCTCAGTATTTGTAAGAGTGCATCGCCAAATAATTGAAAATGGTTTTGGAAATCTCCAAAGGGATCAAAACATAAATGTTCGTCAGCGCAGATTTACCCGTATGATTCTGCGTGAGTTTGATAGAGATCCGACCAAAAGTGTTAGGAGAGTTTCTGGTGCCTTGGGAATTTCAGCAAGCCATGTTCACCGTGTTCTTAGAAATGACCATAGACGTCCTTACCATTTGCAATATGTGCAAGGACTACAGCCAGGGGACGGAGAACGAAGAATCACATTTTGTCAGTGGATTTTTGATAGAACTGATAATAATAGGGAGTTTTTAAGTAACGTTTTATGGACCGATGAGTCATGCTTCACTAGACGTGGAGTGGTAAATTTTCATAATCAACATATTTGGTCGCATGAAAATCCGCATGCAGTTCGGGAAAAAAATTTTCAGCATGAATTTAGTGTGAACGTGTGGATTGGTATCTACCGTAATCGACTATTTGGACCCTACCTTTTGCCTGCAAGGTTAAATGCTGCGACCTTCTTGGAATTTTTAAAGGCTGAACATGCAAATATGTGGGATGATGTTATGTTAGATTTAAGAAGATTGGCCTGGTTCCAGCTTGATGGTTGTCCAGCCCATTATTCGAGAATAGTTAGAAACTGGCTGGATGAAAATTATCCAGAAAGATGGATCGGCCGTGGAGGACCAGTCGCCTGGCCTCCACGATCCCCTGATTTAAATCCATTAGATTTCTTTGTGTGGGGATTTCTAAAAGAAAAAGTGTACCAGACTCCCGTAATAGACAGAATCAGGAATGTATGTGATGAAATAAGGCCTTATTTGAATAATCCTATACCACGTTCGATCATTCGTAGATGTGAATTGTGTATTGAACAATTGGGTTTACATTTCGAGCAACTACTTTAGATTTTGTATGTTTGTCCTAACTATCTAATAGCATTTTAGTTGTTAATAATCAATTTAATTTGTTAAAAATAATATTGGAAAATTAAACAAATTAATATTCTGTTTTTTGTGTTTATTTGGAGTTATGAATTAGGGTAGACCGGTGAAATACGCCCCACATTTTGGAAAATGGAAATCACCAACATAATAAACCAATTTTTTTATTCATTAATACAAAAACAAAGCAACTAAACATCGTTTTTCTCTAATATAAACATAATTTCTCACTAAGGTTAAGAAAAGTTACAAACAACCAAACTTAAAAAAAAAGCATTTGGGGCGTATTTGCCCGAAACTTGTGAAATACGCCCCTAGTAGAAAATTAACGTTTTTTCGTGGCACAAAGATTACACATGTTTGTGTGGTTCGTGCAGGTTTCATGTAACCATTTACTACATGCTTCACATTGAATCCAGTCAACCTTAGATTTGGTGGTGTAGTAGTATTCGCGACATTCAAGGCAGTAATCATCAGTGTCATCAGATAAGTCTTCAGAGGAGCTAAAATGTGGTTCAGTTTCCGACGAAGACGAACTTGATACATTTTGTTTTCTTTTAACTTGTTTAACGCAGGCTTTCCTCCTAATTTTTTTCTCATTTTCGCTCGGCTTTTTTAGTTTGTCTTTTTTATCTTGAGCTTGTTTTTTTTTCTCTGAGAATACTCGTCTTTTAACCCGATTTTCAGGAGACGTCAGTTCTAAAGCATGTTGTTTCCTTTTCGGAATTGTATTAGGTATTAGAGGAATTGGGTTATCTTCTCTTAAAAATTTTGAAGGAGTTTCTTTTTCTTCTAAATTTAATGAAACTTCTGAGGCTTCGTTGGAGGTTTGAGAATCGGTAGACATATCAGAAACACCCATGTTTGTATGTCCAGGAGAGAAGGAAGTAGAAGGTTGAGCTTTATTTGGCCC